GGCTGACTAAATACTTTTTTTCCCCACTGTAAAAGCGCTATAGTATGTAGAAAAGCACTATATAAATCCTGTCAATACATTCTGTGCAGGCAGGGTTTAGAGAGCACTGTAGACTGTGCATCCACCCATTGGTCTACCAGTTTATGAGTGATAGTTAAACTTCATGTTACGATAAGTGTCATGTCATTTTTAATGACCACAGAGAAGACCAGAGGGAAGGCTGCCTCCTAATGGCTCTCCAACAGCACTTCCATCAACATGTGATCTGTCCTCCAGGGAGGGACCCAGACCGACCCAGCCAGACCCAGCCAGACCCAGACCGACCCAGCCAGACCCAGACCGACCCTGCGTAGACCCAGCCCGACCCAGCCAGACCCAGCCAGACCCAGCCAGACCCAGCCAGACCCAGCCCGACCCAGCCAGACCCAGCCAGACCCAGACCGACCCTGCGTAGACCCAGCCCGACCCAGCCAGACCCAGCCAGACCCAGCCAGACCCAGCCAGACCCAGCCCGACCCAGCCAGACCCAGCCAGACCCAGCCCGACCCAGACCGACCCTGCGTAGACCCAGCCCGACCCAGCCCGACCCAGCCAGACCCAGCCAGACCCAGCCAGACCCAGACCGACCCTGCGTAGACCCAGCCCGACCCAGCCCGACCCAGCCAGACCCAGCCAGACCCAGCCCGACCCAGCCAGACCCAGCCCAACCCTGCGTAGACCCAGCCCGACCCAGCCCGACCCAGACCGTGCGTAGACCCAGCCCGACCCAGCCCGACCCAGCCAGACCCAGCCAGACCCAGCCCGACCCAGACCGACCCTGCCAGACCCAGCCAGACCCAGACCGACCCTGCGTAGACCCAGCCCGACCCAGCCCGACCCAGCCAGACCCAGCCCGACCCAGCCAGACCCAGACCGACCCTGCGTAGACCCAGCCCGACCCAGCCCGACCCTGCCCGACCCAGCCCGACCCAGCACGATGCTGCGTAGCTCCAGAGGCCAGCCAGTAGAGGGATGTAGGGTGCTATGCTGCTGGAATGAATGTGGGACAAAACTTGCAACTGCAACAACAACAAAAAAGAGGGAGGCGTTTGATCACAATCGAGTTATCGTTTGAAAATGTTTCACTGAAAAAAACAGTTTATAATTTGTTTGTTTTTGCGCATTTTTTAAATTATTTCCTTGCAATTGTTATTTTTGTCAATATCATTATTTTTGTTTGCAATACTAAGAATGTTGTTGTCGACTTGATATTAATGTAACAAAAGTAACTCCAAACCAACCGATCTACAGTATATGCGATGTTTGGGGCATGGCCTAATGCATTGGGGAGCGGAGAATGACAAGTTTGGCCGATATTTATCAAACTGCTGCATTTTTCTACCCTTGAAAACATACGTAGCAGCCAGCAGGGAATCTACATACGCAGAGATCCAGTCTGATTGGTAATAGGAGCAAGAAGGGCAAAGGAGAGGACGCCACATCAATGAAGCTGAGCAGCACTCCAGTGATTGCTG